AAGTTGCAACAAAATTGAACTTTTTTTTATTAGTGAAGTTTAGTTTATTTATAAAAAAATCCCCATTTTCATATTTTTTTTTTGTTTATTGACTAGATTGTGCCTGATGCAAAAAAGGCATTGATTGTTAGGCTGTGTCCCTGAGGATTCGACCCTTCTTCCCTGTGCTATCTTTTAGTGCAACCAGAAGTGAAATATTATTTGCTTAAGACGCCCGTGACAGCGTGTTAACAGAAGGTCAATTTCGCATGGACTGAAGATTGAGAAGAAGCTGTCACCAAGTTAAAAGGAAACTTAAGGACCCTCCCGACATTGGCTAGTCTAGTAGCGAACGAGCAGCTCGTCGCTTGTATCACTAGAAATAGAAAGGAAATAAGTGTTTTGTTGATTGCGGAGAGGGCGAAGAAGCAAGTCCTAATATACTTTCTTATTTGAGTGCTCCAAGGGGCATAGATGAACTATTTAATTGATAGAGAAGTTAACCTTGTCCTTACTATATACGATAAGACAATTGACGCGGTACTTCCAGACTCACCCGATCCTGGTGTTGACTAATAAGCCATTAAGAAAAATCCTTATGCAACCTAAGAGGTCGGGAAGAATGACCAAGTAGACTATAGACTTGGGAGAGTACGAAATCTCATACAAACCAAGAGTGTGCATCAAGGCACAAGCATTGGCTAATTTCTTGATAGAAATGCCTCAGGTAGAAAAGGTAAATGCGTGTACCGAAGAGGAACCCATTGATGAAGTCCTTTTGGAAAAATCCATCCCCTTCAAATGGTGGACGTTGTACACAAACAGAGAATCCAGTCGAGACGGCTCGGGAGCACGGGTTATTCTAGTAAGTCCTTCCGGAGTGAGAATGATGTATGAATTACAATTTGATTTTAAATGCTTGACATGTATATTGCAGAAATAGAGGCCTTAATTGTTGGATTACAACTGGATGTTGACATGAATGTCGCATAAATCGTTGCATTCGAAGATTCTATGTTTTTCGCTAATCAGATAATAGGAACGTACGAGACAAAAGAAGGACACATGAAAAAAATATCTGGAAAAGGTGAGAGGTTTGATTGGACAATTCGTGAAATTCCAAATCATGCAGATCCCCCGATCCAATAAAAAATAAGCAGATACGCTGAGCTATTAGCATCTGTGGTGTTCAATCACTTGTCTAAAAAGTATTAGTAGAAATTATGCACAAAAAGAACATTGATGAGAAACAAGAACATATGACAGACATGCATGGAGATGAGGACTCTTAGGTGACTTTCTTCACTAAATACCTGAAAGATGGCACGTTACCAACCTGTGAGAAAGATACATGAAGGATATGAGTAAATGCAGCTAAATACACCATGTACTTAGGAAGGATATATCGAAAGGGATACTTGACCCCATGGCTTAAATTTCTGGGAAAAGGTAAAGCAGAAAAAGTAATTTCAAAAATACATTCCGGAATTTTCAGGGCGCACACAGTGTCGATGGCGGTCATACAAAAGATATTGTGAGCAGGTTACTTCTGGCCAACAATGACTAGCAACACAAACACGCCAATTCGAAAGTATCATAGTTTCCTGATGCATTCCAATATCCTCTTATTACCAGAAGTAGTACAGACAAGCATGACTAGCCCATCTCCTTTCCTATAATGGGGCATCGACATCGTAGGCCCATTTCCAGAAGCCCCGAGCAGGGTGAAGTTTCTAATAGTGAGAGTGGATTACTTTACCAAACGGGTGGAAGCTGAGGTTGTAGCGGTCATATCAGGGAAAATATTATCAAGTTTGTATGGAGGTACATCGTATGTCACTATGCGTTACCACATACCATCATAAGTGATAATAGGAAGCAATTTGAAGATAACGTATTTAAGGGGTGGTGTCAGGAAAAAAGGTATTAAGCATAACTTTTCATCGGTTTCCCATCCCCAAGCTAATAAGTAGGTTGAAGTCAATAATAGAACGATTATGAACAGTATCGAAAAGAGATTAGGAAAGGACCAAGTGAATTGGCTCGACGAGCTGTAGCATGCTCTATGGTCTCAACGAACCATGGTGTGGACACCGACAAAAGAGACCCCATTCAGTTTGGTTTATGGAACAAATATAGTCTTACCCATTGAAGTGAGCATACACTCTACAAGAACTTCCCACATACAACCAAAAGATAATGAGGAAATCCTACGGGTAAGCTTAGACCAGCTGGAAGAGTGATGTAGAAACGCAACAATTCGTCAAGCAACCTACAAAGGATTAACTAAAACATACCATAATAAGCGAGTCAAAGGAAGAGCGTGTAAAGTAGGAGATTTGGTTCTTATGAAGAATGAAGCGAGTAGGAAGGAACACATGGGAAAACAAAGCCCGAACTAGGAAGGGCCCTATAGAATTGTGGAAGCAAGGAGGAATGGGTCGTATGTCTTGGAGATAATGCATGGAGAAAGGATGCCTCGGACCTAGAAAATGCATAAACTATGGGTTTTTTTCTAGAATGTATTAGTAGTGCAGGAGAGATAATAAAACCTTCTTGAATCCCTCGTTCAGGGTAGCATGTGTATGAACGAAGGATCAACTTTGCACAATTAATGACAATGTAGTCTTGGGATCTTTAATCAGTTACATTAAGATTTGCAAAATGTTAAAGTCAACATGGTCCGACACCATGGTTCGACATTAAGCCTCCATGGTTGTTCACTATGGTTCAACATTAAAAGTTACCATGGTTCGACATTAAGCAGCCATGGTTATTCACTATGGTTCGGCAATAAAATTTACCATGGTTCAACATTAAGGCCATGGTTATTCACTATGGTTCGACAATAAAATTCGCCATAGTCAGGCACCATTGTTCAACATTATGTCGCCATGGTTATTCACTATGGTTCGACAATAAAAGTTACCATGGTTCGACATTAAGCTAACGTGGTTATTTACTATGGCTCGACATTAAGCAACCATAGTTATTCATTATGGTTCGGCAATAAAAGTCACCATGTTTCGACATTAAGCTGTCACGGTTATTCACTATGGTTCAAATATAAAATTCACCAAGGTCCGGCACCATGGTTCGACATTAAGCCACCATGGTTATTCATCATTGTTCGAAAATAAGAGTCACCATGGTCCAACACCATGGTTCGACCCCAAGCTACCATGGCCATTCACCATGTTTTGGAAATAAAAATCACCATGGTCCGACACAAACATATACCGTAGTTTGAATTAGTGCCATCATGACTAATCTCTATGATTTGGTGATAAAAGTCATCTTGGTCCAAGTATCAAGGGTCAGGAATCGGAAACAAGAGCTACATGGTCTAATAGTTGTTTACTAAGGTTTGGTTATCAGAGTTAATGTAGAATTACTACAATACATAAGTGAAGGTCGAAGGTGGAATTAGGAAATTCAACTGTTGTTCAAAGAGAGGAGTCGTTCAGACCTAATGATATGACTATCGATAAGACATAACATTGTCACAACAAAGAGTAAAGAAGAAATTAAAGAAACATCATGACAATAATATTAAATAGGGAGATCGTTATCATTAGAAAAGAAGCATAAAGAGAAGTTGAAGTACAAAAAGTCAGATCTAGAAAAACACGTGGAACTATAAAAAAATGTAAAAAAATGCCCACCATATCATTTGGAGGAGCTGCCCTACTCATTCTCATTTCCACTAGCGACAGTCTCTTCCAAATGTTTCCTGATAATCCTTATATCGATCCCTTCAACCTTAAAAATCATACTGAATAGTTATGGCTGACCAAATCGGAGAAGTGTTGCATTACAAGCTCTTCAACGTCCAGATAGGAGTACAATGGATTTTTTTCCTTGTAACTCTTAAGGATATTTCTCCTTCATTTCTACACATGCTTGGTGTAGACCCATTTGGATGTCAGTTGTCTGAAGCAAAGCCTTCATGGTCCTAAGATCTTCGGAGTTAAGTAGGAGGAGAACGAAGGAGCGTATCCCTTGGTTCAGTAACCACTAAAGATCAGTCGAGTGTTGCTCACATGCTGGATTGCTGAGTTGAGCAGTTCAATGGTGATATTTCTCTCTTTTCCGTCCAGGATTTTTTCTTCCTTGTATCTCCGAAGGAGCGAATCTTTCTCTTCCACCAATGCTTTACTTGAAGATAGTTCTTCTTCCATGAGCTTTATACGAACACCCATCTCCGAGCAAATGATGTCGAGGGAAGATACGTTCTCGGTAAAGAAAGTCTTCAAACCTTCAAACTATTGAGTCGTCTCCTCTAAAGCTTTAGTAGCCAAGGATTTTTTATGAGAGGCATAATTTGCCTTTGTCTGCAAATCCACAGTTAGTCAACACAACTCCCCTCGTTCGTGAATACTCTCATTCAAATCCATCAGCAAGAGTTGGTTTTCATCCATCAAACTATCATTCTCCCTCAACACCTTCACCTTTTCCTCCTTAATCCTTCGATGATGAGCATGTGCCCCTTTCTATGGCCTCCTTCAACTTATCAAACTCCATCTCCTTGGTAGCAATGGATGAGGCTCATGGTTGGCTCTGAAGGAATACTTCATTACGCCAATGCAACCCCTCTAGCAACTATGAATGGGCTTTATCCATCCCCTCCTCGTCACTCATCTTACCAAGGCCTAATTTTTTTTGCAAAAGTGATGGTTGAAAAAGGATGAACAAATGAAGGAAGTGAGGTAGCGAGGGAAACCATGGTTGGCATATGAGAATCTTTATTGGATTGAGTAGCATCTAAAAAAACAAGGAATGTTAACAGAAAATCTTAATAGAAAGATCGAAGAAAGAGCAATAATTATACCATGTGGCAGAATGATCTGGGCAGTTATAAATGGATTTGCACATAAAATGGATGAAATAGGAAGAGCTGGAGAAATAATGGAATCCAAGTGAATTAGGTCAGAACCTAAGGATGGGTTATCACCCTTGTCGGTATTTTCAATATAGGTAGGCAAGTCAACTCAATGGTTAGTTGCAGGGGCGCTTGGAACTCATATGCTAAACGTAGCCCTATATCCAAAAAGCTTATGGTGAAATGAAAGTTGAGTGGCACCGCTTTGCATCTTGGAAAGAAGCACAGTAGAGGGAGCCATAATAGAGGTCATAAAAGCATCAAATTGAACGGGAGTTGTGTTGCTAGGAGTTTCTGAGGCGTGGTTGGATAAGTCATCCCCAACATTAATGGCAATCGAATCAGTCATGGTTGGATAAAAATGGACCAGACAATCATGAAGTACAAAGCCCTCGTGAAATGCCTCTTTGGCGGAAGTAATAAGAGTTATGGCAGAAGTCTGAAGGGAAGGATCATCTCCTAGTTTCTCCAAAGATAAATTTCCCATAGCACCAAGGGAACGCATTGTACGCGGTCATTTTGGGGAAACCTGATGAAGATGCTCGTCAAGATGACACGAAGATAATTTTCCTTTGTCGTAATAATAAACTCAGATTCATCAACTCTAAAGCTTGTAGAAGATGCCAAATCCTTTTGTTTCATCGTTCTCTTAACCTTGGCATATTTTTTAGAAGAGAAAGAAGGAGGCTTACTGGTTGGACGCTCAGACTTTACTCCTTTCTTGTCACCTTTCAGAGGAAGAACCATAGTTGAATCAATGCTAGAATAGGTTCCAGGGTTTATATCCACACCCTAGGAGCTAATAGATTTGGTAGCAAAACCCTCAGAGAGATTTGACGGCACGGCAAGGAATCTTCGGTGCGATCACTCGAGCAGAGTAGATTTTCCACCTCACAAATTAAGAGTTTTCTTTCCCTCATCAAGGTTTACAAATTAACCCCGCCATCTCGAACATTTCATCTTCAGGGTCGGCCTACGTGACGAAATTGGCAATTAGTCGGTTGACTATATCTTCTTCCTCGGAACTAAGCTCAAGAGCAAGATCTAAATCACAACCCTCGACAGTCCCAAAGCATATAGGTTCGGAAAAAAGAAGAGTTGTTAACAAAGAAGAACTCTTGCTTCCATTTCCTTATAGAGGTAGGTAATCCATCACATATATCAATTAACCCATGAAGAAGGGAAAAGGAAACGCAATCATTGGTCGTCATTGTGATGTAAAAATGGCAAAAAAGGAAAAGTTGGGGAACAACATCAAGAGCCCGAAAGAGCATAAAGAAACACATGATCTTCCGAAAACCATTTGGAGGCAATTTGGGCTATATGGAGATGGTATTAATCGAGAATCATTCCCAAAAAAATCAAAGGCAAGAAATCTTAAACCCAATTTGAAAATTTTTAGATAAACCCTAAAAAGTATACGAGAGGAAGAGTAATAGTTTGTGAAGGAAGAGAAAGTTAGGGCTTGAAATGGGAATCTATCTGGTATAGCTTGGCAATATCCTCGAAGTTCTTGGGTTTGAGCAGAGACAAAATTTTATGAACACTTCTACTGTTGTTCGTCGTAGCCGTCGCTTGAAGAAAATAACAAGGTTTTTTCAAAGAATAAAAATAGCAAGATTTACGGAAGAAAGAAAGGGGGGGTTACCCATGATAATTCCCTTTTTTATGGATGGTGACATAACATGTACTGTGATAATAGGGGAATGATGGGCGATAGGTCTGCAAAACCACCACATCAACATCTAAGTTCGTTCTAAAGTGATCCTCTTTGGGAAATCCACAGAAGTAACAACTAATAAAAACCCTTGGCAAATGTAAAAGAACAATGATTAAATCGAATTATTATCATTAGTAATCCGAACTATGGGACTTAATAAGGTATATTCTCGCTCGGCCATACTACATTCACAAAACCCAACTAAACTAATAATACAGGATCAATATCACCGAATTGACCCTTGTACCACGAACAACCCGAGTCGATGAGCAGACTGGTCGAACCAGAAAGAAGAAGGATCGGTCCTAAATGAGTTCATAAAGATAAGATTCACAAAGGACCATGATAACAACGATGAAACAGGCTGTAAAATAATCGTTGGAACTCAAAATAGTACTATGACAATAACGAAAATGATTGTTGACCCTTTCTAGTAAAGCTTCTTGTACCTTCGACAAAGGTAGCATTAATGACAATAGGACGGGCCTTGCCCATTCTAACCAAAGAAGTTGTTTCCCAATGGAAATAGATTATAAAACGAATCATAACCAAGAAAGAGATACGCAATTCATATAGAATGTTTCCACACTCATACAAAATAAGATCAAATTAGATATGTAATCTAACCATTGGAGCGTTTTCCTAGGATCTCCCCAGAAGATGTCTGATGGTTGTGGTTTCTTTTCAGGTTTGAGACTGTGCTCACTCTTCGTTTTAGGCCAAGTGTGTTACCTTTCATGAGGGTAGAAAAATTGAGACGCATCAATAGACATATTTATCCCATTTATGACTCAGATGTCTATAGCTAAGGTGACCTTTATCACAACAGATTTCCGATCAAATCATCCTGCTTCAAGAACTTGTGTAATCGACCTATAACTAGGTTATAGAAATCACAAATACACGTTGGCCATCAAAAGATAACACTAGCGGCTAAGTATCATTCATCCCACTAGCTTATACAAATGACTTGTAAGTGCTTTCAAATTGGATTGCATAGATTTGAGTTTAATAAGGGGTACGTTAATGTTTTTATAATTATAGTTAAAAAAACATTTTATATCATGGTTATTGCATGTATTCATTAAGCAATGGTATACTTTTATTTAAAATCACATTTTAGCAAAATTCTTTTATAAAATCCACATTTTTATATTATCGACGCGATCAAATTTTAATATTAATAACTAGTATTAAATTTTATCATTTGAGCGTTAAGGAACATTTATAAACCTTTTAATAAAACATCATTTTATAAAATAAGGTTTGGAGTTTGATAAGTTTCCAAAAATCTCAACTTTAAACTTATACAATTTTAATCATGAAATTTACCGTCCAGTTTTAATGATAAAACTCATTTTATTTTTAAAACTATTTTTGTCATCTTATGTTGATAGGTAAATTTCATTAAAACCAAACTCCTTATGATGTTATTTATGTTCAAAATATTATTTTTCATGTGAAATCTAATTTAAAAAATAAAACATAATATCAACATAAAATTAAACAACGCAAACATGTTATGATATATGTACAAGAACCAACCATCTAGTGACATTTTGTGAGCCATCACAAAAATCTCAAGGCCGTCCTAAGGGACATAAACAGACCAAAAAATCTTTAATTGTTGCATTTTGTCCTCCCACTTGCTTTGACAACTCCAACTTTGAAAACTACATAATTTTATAAAAGTTAAGAAAACTTTTAAAATCATGGGGTGAACTCTTGATCCTCTAAAATGATCTTCATCTTCATTGTGTTACATTTTTATAAAAATAAACTATTTCAAAAACTAATCTAATACTTACAAAAATAAATAAAATGAAAACTAATATATTTAATTATTACATATCATATTAATAAGCAAAACAACCATTTCATCAAATCAACACATACAACAACACAAGAGGTCCATGGCTAGTTTATGCACATCATACATTTATAAATACTCAAAAATTTATAAAACAACACTTTGTTTTTCTAAGATAACTTTTATAACTAAAAAGATACATGTAAACTTCTAGTCATAAAAATAACAATTATAAACGTTTTAAAGTTTTCATAGAAAATATGTATAAATTTTTTTTACAAAAAGAAAAATCATCTATGGTTTCTAAAAGCAAAGATAATACCAAATTATCAAATAATCTAACCAAACTTGAAAAAAATGACTATAATACCAATTGTTGAGTTTTATTCGAAAATCAGTTTCTAAAAACACTAAAAACGGCAACGTAAGCTTTAAAATTGTGAATAAACTTAAAAAAAAAATTAACCCACCAATTAACATTTTTAAAAGCAAGGAAAGATTAAAATAACCATATAAGGAAAGAGATTATAACCTTTGAAGACATTGATTCCTTTTGGCAATTAAGAAGTTGATGAATAATGTAGAGTATAAATCCTCTTATGTAGAGGCAACAACACTTCAACTTGATAAGAGGCTAGTCTTGACTCTTGTAACAAAATAATACTATTAAGCTTTATGTTAAAACCCAAGTAATAAATTAAAGAGATTTTTTAAGTATCATATTCATATATCAATATCTTAACACTTTAAGAGAAATGAGAAGAAGAAAGAACAAGCATACGATTTATATAAATCATCTCTTATTTTATAAAAACTAAAGCGTTTAGTTTATATAAATTATATAAATTATTCCATATGATTTTATTTGACACTTATAATAGAAAATTATTGTTTTCATAAAATAATTATTTTCCAATTAATTAAAAGAAATATAAATGTTTATTAAGAATCAATGTCTTAAAAATTATATATATATATATATATATATATATATATATATATATATATATATATTATAAATTTTTTTTTATTAAGAATCAATTCTAATAAATAATATATTATCATCAAGTTGCTAGCATGATCCTTTTAAGATCATATATTATCTAACAATATCATTCTATAATGTTTCTTATGCATAAAGATCTTTCATATATATATATATATATATATATATATATATATATATATATATATAGAAAAGTGAATATACCCTACAATATATATAAGCTTAGGTATCCAAACTGACTATACTACATCGTTTTGGGTCATATATGAATTGTAATCATCCAAAGTTCTTAAAATTAAACTCCTAACTTGATTTACTTGCTAGATTTATAGAAATTTCACCATTATTTTCCTCCTACATAATTTCCATTTCCAACTATAATATATGTTAAATGTGACTCGAGCATTTGGAGCACTTTGAACTCAATGTAGCACTTAGGGTTCATGGAGCATGTGAAAAAGGAACAGATAATCTGAGAATGGAATGGATATCCTGACAAAGGAACGAATAAAGTGACAAAGGAACGAATAAAGTGACAAAGGAACAGATCTTCTAAAAGGGGGTATGGAGCACCTAGAAATAGAATGGAGCATCCTGATGCATGGATGTGACATCTATGCTTGAAGCACCATTATAGATGTAGAAGCGCCACCCATAGTGTCACTCATTGTCTAGATATGACATTCTAGAGGAGGAAGTGCCACTTTGAAGGTAGAAGCACCACTATGATTCTAGAAGCGCCATTATGAGGTAGAAGTGTCATTCTGTAGGAAGAAGCGCCACTTTAAAGGAATAAGTGCCACTATGGTTCTAGAAGTGCCACTCATAAATAGGAAGCACCATCCCTTAAGAAGAAGCGCCATTCCATACAGAAGAAGTGCCATTCTCATGTTGATGTGTCATCTTGTTGCAATGATGCACCACTTATGTTCTTTAACACCCGTGTTCCGGATTGGTTAAGATTACTTG